CCAAGAGCTCATCATACGCAGGAGCAATGGCCCCTGAATCAGACAATGTTAATGAAATAACATCATCCTCCAGCGGCTCACTCTCGTGCACAGCCGACGATCGCGAAAGGGAAACTCCCCTTCAAACTCATCGGCCAGATCCACCTGCGATCCCCACGAGCTCATTCCCTTCCGTGCCACAGCATCAGCGGGTCCTGAATCGCGGGAAGCAGACAGCTGCCCCTTTTTCCTCGAAAAGAGAGACAAACGAGAGCGGAGCTTTTTCCCTTGGAAAAAACACTCACAGTGCACGCCGATTGCCTCCTCGGAGTGCGTGCGTGCTCTTCGCCCAAACAAATAACACATAGATCGTGTGTGTCATCAGATGTTAAACAACGTCAACACGGATGCACACATCCTTAAACGCTTTGCTAGTGCTCGCCATAATGAGATGAATAGAGATCACTCTTACCACAGAAATGCACGCTTCAAACAAAACAGTCAATGAAGACGAAGAAGAGAATGATGTGTGCTCCCGGCACCTATTTATACTATAGTCACACCGGTAGTGACGTCATGGCTGACGCCGGCCATCGAGTTGGTGTTTTTTCAATGTATGCTTCAGACACAGGTCACGACAAGGTGTTCCCCATAGTGACCCCTAGAGGACACAGTTCGAAGTTCCCATGAAAGGGAAGTAAGTTTTAACGAATCAACCCGCGTTTAGTTAATAATAAAATAATAATTTAGAAATATTATTAATAAAATAAAAATTTTTAACTTTGTAATTCAGCAGTTTTGGGGGAAGAGAAAACGTGTCCCGGTGACATGGACAGCAACCTTCGGCGTCTAAAACATGAACTGGTGAGATTTTCCTGATCGTTTTCTCTTTTGTCTTCTGCTTTTACAGGACAGGTGTGATTTTATTGAATCTTCTCAGATATGTAGGTCATAATTAGTATGACTTTGCATTATAATGTTTTCATAAACACAATTTTATACGCCTTTCTCCTGCGCAGTTTTGCACCTCTGTGTGTTTATGTTTATCCAGCTGTTGTCCGGTGCAGGAGAAAAGGTGCAAACTGATTGGCAGCGGTTTTTTGAAAAGGAGACCGCTAATTGGCCGGCACTGGCACTTCTGTAATGTTTTAAAATTTAAGTGCAGGTTGTGAGATTTTTGTCAAACAAAAACACGCTTTTGGCTCTGTGATCAGATGAAAACATCCAACATTGCGGTAGAAAAGTGCTGCAATAAACCCTTATGGCATAAAAAAAACGTATCTCATTTATTTATCCTAGATAACAATTAAATTATTTATTTACTTACGTTACATTAATTTAAATAACCTTTATTTGTATGAGTGAGAGAATGAGTGCTTGCCAAATGAGGAAACAGGGCTACAAGGATGTTACTCACAACATCAATAATTTGTTGGTGGGGTCAGTGATGTCTGATTAATACTGCTGTCTGTCTGGGCACATCCCAAAGGAAACTGACACTGGAGAAGTCAGTGGCATCACACAATGAGAAATAGGACCTACGCCAGAATCTGATGAAATAGTGAACAAGGAACTTGCCATAACTAGCAAACAGGGTTATATACGTAAAAGTGATTAGTTGCAATAATTTGCCTCTTTAAACTTTAAAAACAGAATTCTCATTGTAAAAGTGACTTTTATGATGACATTATGGCTCTACTGCTTACATAAGCAGGCTATATAACATCCTGTTTGAATATCCAATTCATATTGAATGAAATGTTTCAGGTCCTTCCCTACACCTGCGTTTATGACCAACCCAGTAAAATACATGCCTCAGCTGTTCGCCCATGACTTACAGTCTAGTCATTTCACTCACATAAGCTCCTACATCTCCCATCATGCCTTGAGACACAATACTATTGGAGAAAAGCATCAGTGATGTGCTGCTGTGCTCAGACTGGCTGGTGATCGATCACACTTGTAAGGGAGAGAAGGAACAGAAAACAGGGAGTGAGACGAGAGAAGGAAAGATGGAAATGCGAAGACTGCAGGGTGAAAGAAGGTAGGATGACATTCTGTAACAGAAGAAAAAGGGCATTTTTGTAGTGTATAGAGATGGAATAAACAAATAAATAAAACTAAACAAAGACTCAGTATGGGATATCAAAAATGTATATAAACATTTTGGCTCATAACTTTGCTGAAAGACATACATTTTGCTTTTCCGTATAAATCACGTTAACATTTAACAAAACTATGTTTTTACAACCTCTTCTACAATGTATACAACTTTATATGTTCATAATTGTCCAAAAAAAATTATTTACTAATAAACATAAACATGTAATAAAACATGATCCTTCATAAATTATTCTAATATGCTGATTTGGTGCTCAATACAATTATTTTATTATTATTTTTAATGTTGAAAATAGTTGTGCTGCTTAATATTGTGTAAACCGTGATAGAATTTTTCAGGATTCTTTGGTAAATAGAAAGATCTAAAGAACAGCATTTATTTGAAATGTGTATACTAATATAAAAGTCTCGATTGTCATTTTTGATTAATCAGTGTAGTTTCAAATCAGCTTTAAAGGAAATCATGCCTTAATCCTCCTAGTAAGCAATTCATTTGGAAGCTGTGACAAGGAAAAAAACATCTGCATTCTCTTCAGCAGATGCTGAGCCAGGTATCTGTGATGGCACACTGGGCAGAAATTGCAGACTGTTTGGTGTAATATTGATTTTTGATAATTACTGTGAAGTGAGTGTGAGATAAGCGTTATTCATCAGTCACAACAAATTTCATTGATAATTGCTTCATTATGTCTATAGTAATTGCTCTCTTGCTTTCTTGCCTTTCCCATTATAGGATTCTTTGTGGCAGTCAGATGAGGGTCTCCAAGCTCAGATGAATTCTGTGATCGGCGCTCTCAAGGAGCTCAAACTCTTGCAGGTCCAGACTGCACTGGAGGAGCTGGAGTTCTCCAGTAAAACGAGCCAGGCCTCTTCATACACCCACACAATGCTCGATCAGATAAACTACAGTTCAAGAATAACCCACCTGAACCGAACACAGAATCCAGAAGAAATTCTTTCACAAGAATGTTTCAAGACTGAGCTTATCATGGAACCGTCTTTGTTCCTCACTAGTTCTCCAGCAGAGAACCGCCAAACTCCCAGGGTACATGAACCCAGGATGATTTACAGAGGAAGTCTGAGCACTTCTTCCTCCTTTTCCTCTCAGGAAGACACAACCGACAACAATTTCTCTTCATATGATATCGATGACTCCACGGATTGGACAGCCTCATTGATGAACCACAGTAGAAACAGACAGCCATTGGTATTGGGTGACAATGTTTTTGCTGATTTGGTTGGGAACTGGCTGGACCTGCCTGATGTTGGAGGCCAGACAGCAGGTAAGGAGCGGAATGACTTGATTCTTAAAGACACACTTTCGGAGTCATCATCTAGCAGTCACTCTCAAGATCTCTCCAAGAAACTCTCACTAACAGCAAGCATCTTCAAACGGGTCCTACGCCGCGTTCGGCCACAGCACCACCAAGAAAGCAAAGCAATGGATGTCTGTAAACAACCAAAGATCACATGCAGAAAGTCAAAATCAGATGTCAGCAAGCCATTCTGGGTGAGAACAAGAGGAATGAAGAAGGAAACCACAACCACCGTACAAGAGCGTGCATGCCCTATCAGGGCTCAGAGGGTTTGATAGACAGAGGATGGGTGGAGATTGTAGGGAAGCATCCATCTGTGTTTGATTACAGCTCAGCTGTGTGGGTCTGATATAATTCTACATGGAAGAGACTGTTACACATATTAGCAATTGTTAGACATAGTCTAATATATTTTATCAAAATGGTCATAAAAGCGATTGTCAAATCACAATCCTGCCTTTAAATGCACGTAGGAAAGTCAGCCATTTGTTATTGTGTCACATATTCAGGTCGAAAGTAGTCTAAACAAAAGAATTGTATTGTAACAACAAACCCAAATAACTACATCTGAATTGAAAATGATAAAATAATATTTCTATCTTCATGGTAAATGTGCAAACTAAATGTGAAGCAAACTGTAAAAGTTGAGCAATAAACATAATTTGCCACAGACTTGCTTGCCACTTGCCGATGTAGAGGTAATATTGTCCTTCTCCCTCAAATGAGAGGAGCACTCCAGAAACTATTGATTCCAAAGATATGTTAGGTAAACATTTCTGGAATGCATTTATGTTTTTTGGTGATGTAAGCATGGCAGAGCAAAGAAAACAGAAAAAATATTAATTCGGTCACATTGTGTTGCCCTACTGTGTTTCTGTGAGATCCCTTGAGAGCCTAATGCTGTTTCTGCTGATGTTTGTATCCATCTGTTTAGGTTTAGGCCTAACTGTCAGTCATTCTATGAAAAGGTCCTGATTGGTGCTTTTTAACAAATGTCTTACTCATGTCTTAGCTTTGCAAGCATAAACCTGCTTTGTACTGGACTGAAAAACTATGCAATGATGCTAAACTGCTATGCAAAAAAATGAAAACTGAGCAAATTCAAATACCTGTTTTCTGTAATAGATATAAATATATGGCTGTTGGTCCTGAAATAGTCTCTATACCTGTTTTCAGAGCTATTTAATACATGATGTGATGTGGGATACTGTTTTTTTTAAATAAAATAAAAAAATATACAGTTCCTGTTGGCCTATAAGAGTACATTTTAAAAAGGCACAGGATATTCCATTCAAGTCTTGAGGAATATTTGCTTTCGTCACGTCTGATCGTGAATCTTTATGATTTTTTTTTTTTAATGCAGCATGTAATCTGGTGTGCAGCAAGCATGAATCACCTATGTTTGTTGCATTCCATATCTGCAAGGACTTTTGTAGAAAAATGTAAGATAAGGGGAATTATTTATATGGCTTTGTGTTATACCTGTATCTACAGTACACAAAGTGAGACACACTGAAAAAATGTTTCTCTATAATGGTCTATGTTGGTGAGGAATGGTAATATAGAAATACACATAAAACACCACATCAATATGAAATACATTTATTTAAATCTGTCAAAAAAAAATCTAAACACTATTACTTTAAAAACAAATCAAAAGCCAGCCAGACACTTTGTTTGAAATGCTCAACAAAACCATGGAGCACAACAATGAAAGCTAAAATAAAATATTTGACACTGATTTAACTTGACAAATGAAGTGTCAAGGACTGACTATTGATTATTGGTTTAGCGGTTATCGGAGGAGAAGTCATCTCTGCAATAGATATCTGATTTCACCCTTCTCCTGCTCAGGCACAAAACGGCTGATATTTATCCCAGGCTGAGCTACAGCCTACCGCAAAATACAACCAAGGGAAAAAAAGGAAGAAAATTTACTAAAAGTTAATTATCTTTAAAAGCTGGAAATATTATTGTAATTTTGATTGTGAAAAAAACAAATGCATTAGCTTCAGCACAATATATCTTTATCTTGAAGATAGACAGATCCAAATTTCTTATTTTACCCTTACCACCAAAAGAAAAAAGGACATTTGTAATTTTTCACAGTTTGTTTAGATAAAAGGAAATAAGAATCTAAGCATATTATGGGGAATATGAAAGCAGTGAGTGTTCAAAGTCACTCAGGAAAATGTTTTGATGAATGAAGGACAGCTTCTTTTTTTCATTTGTACAAATGATTAGTGATAGTCCAAACATTATGGAGAAAAAAAACATTTCTGATCATTTTACAAACATGAACATGTTTTTGAAATGTCCCCCATTCTCTCTGCAGGCATTAAGAAAGTCCTGAACCCTCTCCCAGAGTGTCTAACCCCACTTTTACCATGTCACAGACAGAGCTTCTGCTCCAGACACAGATCCTTAGTGTGGAATCTCCTTAAAAAAAAAAAAAACAGTAATCAAGGAGCGGGGGGAAGAAGATTTTCTTCAAGACTTGTTCTGGAAGAAAAGGCAGAGGCTGCATCTCTCTTTTTCTGTCAAGTCTGTGTTTTAGTTGAGGAGTCTGGTGTTCTGCCTTATTAATTGTTTGGCCAATAACCGTAGAGAGGAACCGGAATGTTGGCCAGCTGGGCAACAGTTCTTCATTTCGGCAATCTAAAAAGAATGGGAGGGGGGAAAAATCATGTCATCCATCTCAAGTAACCCCTTCGCACAGCTGCTAAACCAAAAAGTTGGTTTAGAATTTGAATCACAGGACATACAAGTCTTGCACTAAATGCAACAATGCTGAAGCTCCAGCAAGTGGTGCTGTTTTTTTTAATAGTGCAGCAAGATACAAATAATGCCAATAAGATGAATGGGAATGCTTATTGATAGCTTACTCCAGGTATCTCCACAGATATTAAATGGGTCATGACATGAGAAATCAAATTTTCACTGATCTTTTAACATACGTGGTCTCCGTAAAAGTGTTACTTTTGACAGCAAATTTTGATTTAGTTTTAGTCAATCTTTTGACTAAAATGCCATTTAGTTTGTCATATTTTAGTCATCTGAATTGTTTTTAGTTTGTCTAGTTTTAGTCGACTAAAGCTACAGTAAATTTAGTCGGCTAAAATCTAATGGGTTTAGTTACAGTGCATTTATTAAGCATTTCCCTAAAATTCCCAAACTCATTATATAGGTTTGATATTAAGGTTTTATCATGATAGACACCGATTTAACTGCGGTGACACACAACATGCCTTTATGTTCAAATGAAATAAAATCACTTCTCATAAAAAACAAGAACATGGTCTTCTTTTTAATGAAATACCAATGGTTATATAGGCTAATTATGCATTCTTTATAGCAACTTGTTTACCATATTCTTCATTCTTTCAAGCAGACATATTTATTTCTATAAATACATTTATATTAATCTTTCGGGCTACTAAAGTTTTTCAGTCAAGAGCAGTGCATGATTTTCTGTCTTTCTTTTGTTGCTTGATTAACATCAATGGCTCGGACAATAGCAACTAAATTAGGCTGCTATCCCTTTAAAACCGAATGCACAGCTGCAATGGATGAAATGTACTGATACACGTTCTCCCTACTGTTTACGTTCACTTAAGACGTAATCAACTGTGTTTACCGTCAAAAGGGACAATTCGACATAATTTTGTGTGTAATTCTCCGTTCATGCGATGCGAAAGAGTGCTCGCGCGCTGTGAGACGTGCTTTCTGTGTGTGTATGCTTCAGTGTCTGCGCTTTCAGAAAACCGGACCAAATTGTGTTCTCTCTTGCGTCGTCAGAATTATCTATATATGTCTGCTCTTCTCTTACTCCCACATATTGACATTTTTGAACGTTTTATGAGACGTGCAGCAAAGTTTATGTTAGCTTATGTCCCGCCGGTTCATATGTACGCATCTAACTAACCTCCAAACCATGCAGCAGATTTGTTCTGAATGAATCTCTTCCCAAATCTTCCCTCCCTAACATTTTCGTCTCGTTTTTATTCGTTGACGAAAATGTCAATAGATTTACGTCACAGTTTTTGTCATTCAAAAATAGTTTAATTCGTTATCGTCTCATCGTCGTCGGTGAAAAAAATGTTGAGAAATTATTTCGTCAACGGAATTAACACTGCTCCGTAACATTAAAACATCCTGCAATATTCATAGCTTAAAACATCCTCCTAATTACAATTTTTTTTAACCATTTAATCAAGCATTTATCATTCAATAACAGGTATTTTGCGCATCCTTAGTAGACATCACTGATGCAAAAAACACAGGATGAAATCTTTATTGTGTGTATGCTTCAGTGTCTGCGCTTTCAGAAAACCGGACCAAATTGTGTTCTCTCTTGCGTCGTCAGAATTATCTATATATGTCTGCTCTTCTCTTACTCCCACATATTGACATTTTTGAACGTTTTATGAGACGTGCAGCAAAGTTTATGTTAGCTTATGTCCCGCCGGTTCATATGTACGCATCTAACTAACCTCCAAACCATGCAGCAGATTTGTTCTGAATGAATCTCTTCCCAAATCTTCCCTCCCTAACATTTTCGTCTCGTTTTTATTCGTTGACGAAAATGTCAATAGATTTACGTCACAGTTGTTGTCATTCAAAAATAGTTTAATTCGTTATCGTCTCATCGTCGTCTGTGAAAAAAATGTTGAGGAAAATTATTTTGTCAACGGAATTAACACTGCTCCGTAACATTAAAACATCCTGCAATATTCATAGCTTAAAACATCCTCCTAATTACAATTTTTTAAAACCATTTAATCAAGCATTTATCATTCAATAACTGGTATTTTGTGCATCCTTAGTAGACATCACTGATGCAAAAAACACAGGATGAAATCTTTATCATTGATCATGGATGAAAGGAGTTCTTAATAGTGCATGTACTGATTCCTAATGAACTTCTGATTGTCTACCTGGCTCAGAGCTGCTGCAGTGATGCAGTTGTGTTACAGCAGGATGCAGTTTGACTTCTTTTTCGCTCTCTTCTTCTCCACCGGCGTCTTTCTGTTTATCTGTCTTACCAGGTCATAAAAGATCTGATATACACACACAAAAACACAAAGGACTTTTATTAGAGGCCGGTACATATGTGACCTGGTGCATGAGCATTTTTTTTTAACTGTGACTCACCTCGTTGACGTTGATCTTTGATTTGGCAGAAGATTCTAGAAAGGCACAATTACTCCACTGACGAGCAAGATTCTGACCCTGCTCCTTCCCAACCACCCTCTCATCCTCTAAATCACACTTA